TACATAATATATATATATATATATATATATATATATATTCACTTACTTTTAGAGTATGTCTTAGTAGACTTACTCTACTCAACAACTCATATTCTACATCAAATTTCAGCAATCCAATCATTAAATTAAAAGTTCTAAATGCATAGATCAAGTCTGCAAATTTTTAAAAAAATTTAAAAATTATTTGATACTTCATTTCATTAATTCAAGTTGATGGATAATCATAAAAATATTTTCTATATTGATTTGAATTAATTAAACGAAGTATCAAATAGTTTTAAATTTTTTTAAAAAAAAATTTAACATCATTTATATATTAAGAACTTTTAATTCAACAATTAAATCATTAAAATTTTATGCGGAATATGAATTATTAAGTAAAGTAAATAAAGGTAGACTTACTCTTGATATAAGTGGATCCCTCCTCACACATACCTAATTCACATGTAAAAGAAGAAATATGTTAAAAAATATATATTATGAAAATCTCAATCTTTATTTAGGGGAGTGTATGTTGCCGCAAACTTTGAGTAGACTTTGATTTTTTTTTATAAATAAATTGCTCTATTAATTTAGTGTCAAAATTTGTTGACATTAGGTATAAGTCTTAAAATTTATATAAAATCTGTTATATTTAATAATTTTTTGTATGATGCAAATTTAATCGATCTAATTGTTGAATTATGTAATATTATATTCAAGATTATATATATCAAATTTTACATGATTTGAAATTTTCTATATATGTATCCAAAAATAGATATTTACAAATATTTTAAATTAAATATCATATTACATATTAAAATAAAGCAATATGATGAACAACTAAATAAGCTTGGAATCATGTGAAATTGGATATATATGATCTTGATTATAATATAACATAATTCAATGATAGGATTGATTAAATTTGTATTATACCAAAAATTATTAAATGTATAAAATTTGATATAAGTTTTTAGACTAATACCTATAATCTGATGTCAATGGATCTTGATTCATTATTTTATTTTATTTTTATTGAGAGACTTATAATATGTCTTATTGAAGGGAATGAATAGATGAGAAAAGCCAATGAGAAAGAGACATTGCACATTAATTCTTGGAGGATCCATCCTATGTGATTGTAATATTTGCGTCTTAGAGTTTAACTAATTAAGTTAAGACTTGTTTGGGTAAATTTCTCCACAAGCACTTTTAAGATGAAAAAACAAGAAGGGAAAATGAAATGAGCTTTTTTAAGTTAAAATTAGCTTATGATAGGTTAGCTTCTTTAAAATCATACTTTTAATTTATGCATGAGCTAATTTTAGTTTATAGAGAAGGTTTTTTTTTTTTTTTCTAATTATTTTTTTCTTCTAAAAGAGTTTCTAATTTTTTTTTATCCAAACAGACTCTTAAGAGAACATTGGAAAAGTATTTTGGTAGAAATTTATAAAAAAGAAAAAAGAAACATGTATAATCATAGTTTTAAAAACCGGACCGGTCATCGAACCGGTTAAGGTACTGGGTCAGTGGGTCAAAGGTTGAACCGGTGGGTCACTAGTTGAACCGCATGACTCAATTTTTATTAAAAAATATTTATATTAAATATATTTTATACTTATAAATTTTAATAAATTCATATCTTATTTTAAATTTCAATTTTTCTATCTTATTTAAAATTATTTTTATTTTTATTTTGTAAAAAAATACATAAAAAAATTACATGTTAAACGGTATATTAATACAAATTAAAAATATAAATAATATGTACATATATAATATGCTTGCAATTAATATCACAAAATAATATATGTAATATTTACATAGATATTGCATTATTAAATATATAATTTAAAATTAATAATATACTATAAAAGTTATTTAAGTTGTATATATTGCAAACAAATATATTAGAACAAGTAGTCATTGTTATATTTAATAAGACTCCTTGCTTTTTCATTAAGAGATTCAATTTTCATTATTATTTTTGTGATTTATGGTCCCTTAAAATTTTTTTAAAAAAAATAAGAAAAAAAAGTGGTTGAACCGGTTTGACCCACCGGTTCACCGGTTGAACCGGAAAATTGACCGGTTCAATCCGGTTTGAAACGGGTCGACTGCATAACCGATCCAACTTCAGATTCGAACCGGCTGGACCACCAGTTCCCGGTCCAACCAGTCCGACCGGCCGGGTCGGTCCGAGTTTTAAAACACTGTGTACAATACAAATTAATTTAATCACTATATATATATATATATAGACACACACAAAGATAAGCTTATAACTTTATTAAATATTATAAATATTAATTGCTAGTATTTGCAGGAAGTCAGTGAAAATGTGAAGCAACATGCTCAAACACTAAAAGAGGAGGTGAAAACAATGTTTCAATCATCAATCAATCAAAGTATCATACAAAAACTAAGTTTTATTGACTTACTTCAACGTTTTGGTGTATCATATCATTTCCAACAAGAAATT